GGAGAGGCGCTCAGGCGGAACAGCTCGGCATGAACGAAACCTCAGGATCGGAGATGCTGCTTTGGGTGTGTCTGGCCTACGGCTGCGCTTCGTCGAGCCACTTGTATAAGAACGCATTGGAAACCCGCGTTCTTAAGTTTCCTACTATCATCAAGCGTTTTCGATCATCTTCGAGTACTTTAAACATATCCAGCTTGACGCTGTAGATTCCTTTCTCATACCCTCTTTTACTACCGTAACAGCTGCGCTGTACCTACCATCACTTTTACTCTTTCTCGAATAATCCATACATACATATCCACCATGTACTTCCAATCTTTCGCCATCCTTTCGCTCGCTGCGTTCTCTGTCGCCGCACCTACCTCCAACAAGCGCGCAGTGGTTGCCCGCCAGGCCGGCCCAGTCCTCGCCGACACGACTTACAACGACATCTCGATCGCTGGCGGCCAGGCTGGAAACGCGCAGGCAGAAGCTATGGCAGCCTTCTCAGCACTCGACTTGCAGAACCCAGGAAACATCGACCCGGCGGACCTTACCTTCCTCAATGAAGTCAACCAAGTCGCCAACGATGCGGAGAAGGAGGCCTTTAACCCAGCGGTGGAGGCTGCTACTGGCGATGAGGCCGATCAGATCCAGGTATGTGTTCTTGTTCCTAGTGACTGAGTAGCGAGACTAACACATAGCTAGAACGGAAAGATCAAGAACAAGGTTCTGAAGCTTATGGCTACTGTTATCAAGCTTCAGGCTCAGCAAGCTCAGGGAGATGACACGGTTGCTGACAAGCTTGCGGAGGAAATGACCAAGCTTCAAAACAACATCGATCAGGATACTGCGGCTGCTGGTCAGGTCTCTATTGCTGAGCCGTTCGATGCTACTATTTCTGGCGGAGGCAACTAAAGTGGAAGAGGGAATTTTGTTGTTGGGCTGTCAATACCTGGAACACTTACATCCAGCCTATGAAACATTCTTCTCCTCCGCGCGAGCAAACCTAGGTAGTTAAGTACTTTGTGATAAACAATTGTAACTACAAAAATTACATACCTTCACAACACTTATGTTCAGTCGCCATTCCTTTAACGTGTTTTTATCCGTCTCTCATATCTTCTAACGTTTGATTGTAATATTTTCAAATGTCCCTACACACGGCGATGAATAGTTCATTGATGGCGTGAGTTCTTGAGCAGGGCTTGGCGAGCAACACCTGATGGCCGGGACTTGAAGAAGTGCCGAACGTGGAGCCTCGGAACGGCGTCGGCTTCGCGTCATCGCATGTTCGTCGACGTTAAATACTCTGGCCTGGACAACGGCGCACTACACCTTATACCCATTAATGTTCGCGTAACATTTATTCTTCGTCTCGTGATCTTTGCGCATTATCTTTTGTCTGTGTGTCATTGGCCGTCTGCACACCATGTCGAAGCTGTCACCGACGCTCAAGTCCCTCATCAACGCCGCGCACTCGCGCCCAGGCCCCGTGCCAGCACCACCGAGAATCCAGGCTGTATACAAACGGATAGAAGAAGAGGCCACAGAGCGGAAACTCGGGCGACCGTCATGGCTGGGCATTTCCACGGCCGCGACCATGACGATGAACTCACCAGAGTCCATGGTCGCCTTATACAACAGCTCGACTGCATCCAGACCTGAGAGTGAAGGCGTTGCGACAGCGGAATTCATGCGCGAGATTGGGCTCAAGTGCATAGGCTTCAATGGCGTGAGTAGCCAGCCTTACAAGATGAACAGCGATGTGTACTAAGACAGCGTACAGATCCCACGCACAATCAACATGCTCAACGCCTTCCGCGCCGAACTGCCTTCATCGATCGCTTCCAAGCTAAACACAAAACCAACGCGCTTTCCCGATCCCTCCAACGTTGAGCATATCAATCAACGCGGTCGCGCTCTCTGGAATGCCATCTACCGCCCATTAGAAACCAAACTCGAACACAAACTCGGCGAGGCACACCCCGATCTGCCCGTCTTCATCATCAACAGCGAATACGGCGGTCTGTTTACCGACCCTCCCCGCAAGGAAGGAGCTACCGTGGGCCGTATAACAACCAGCTTGATCGCCATCACATGTCTAAGGGCACAACAAGGAGTTGGACCACAGGTGCTCAGCCATGTCTTTGGGCTGAGGAAGGCTTGGGAAGATGACACTTGGAAACAAGAGCCCGAAGCGGGAGAAGAGGAGGGAATTAAGTGGCTAGTTAGTGATGAAGGATGCACATGGGTGCTGGAGAAGGTCGATGAGCTTGTTGAAGCTCTCGGCGGGGGACAGGGAAGCACATTTGCGCCCGTCAAATCCAAGTTATAGAAATATGTTAAGTACATTCAGAGATGACGGGATATATTGCGGACATGGCCTGGGAGATCAAGCCGTCCTTGTTTTGTTCGCGTATCAACGAACGAAAGGTCTCAATACATCCCACACGCTGCCACATTCAAATATCCGTCGCCCGTCCGCGCGACCCGTTCGTTCGATCGATAATACCGAATTCCTGGTAGAAGTCGACCGGCTAATATCTCCATGCTTTCATAGTTCAGCCGATCCGCGCTTATCTCCAAGTCCTTCCCCGCTAACCATCCCGCAAAGCTTGAATTCAGCCCCACCTTCTCCGACATGTTGGTCTAGCGCATCGTCTCATTCGAAGGCTTACGTCCGGGACCCGAGGGTTTCTCACGTCACTCCGCAATATTGACGGGCTGGAGACTGCGATGTCCCTAGTGAGTTTACCCTAGCTCACGCCGGCTGGGTAAATGAGAGGTGTGTCATGATCATTGCGTCGTCATCAATGGGAATGTATCTGTGATTGTCTTGTTCTGTGTTAGAAGCTTAAATTTGGCCGATGAGGTAGGATGTATAAGAGGAGCTGCTTGAAGGGCTTGAATCAGGCGTTTATTGGCTTATCCATTGGAAGATAGCGACGATGGCGACGACATTCCTACTACCACTGCTCTATGCCGGTGGAGCTTGTGCTCAGTATGTCCCCGTGCCGTGGGCATACACACAAAATGAGCCTCCAGTCAAGGTTACCGTTGACGCTACGGTTCGACATCAGACGATGATCGGAGGTGGCTGCTCAGGAGCCTTTGGTGTCGCTTGCGATCAAACCGGATCTCGAGGCCTCTCGGCTTCAAACCAACAGCTCGTCAGCGACTACTTATTCAACGAGAACCTTGGAGGTCTTTCTGTTTTGCGCAACCGCGTTGGCTCGAGCCCTACAGACGGCATTCTTGGCAGCTGTCCTACAAGTCCATCAGCACCGGCCAACTACTCAGGCTTGGGAGCGAACGATTCCACCGCCGACAGCTGCCAGCTCAAGCTCACCCAACAAGCTTTGACAGCCAACCCGGATCTGTTCATCTATGCAGACGCTTGGTCTGCTCCCGGTTGCTTCAAGACCGATGCCACGGACATCAACGGCGGACTGATCTGCGGCGTGCGCGGAACCAACTGCACCCACGACTGGCGACAAGCATATGCGGACTACCTCGTGGAGTACGTCAGATTGTATGAAGAGAAGGGTATCAACGTCAACTTGATCGGTGCTTACAACGAGCCTGACTTCAATCCCGTTACCTACGCTAGCATGGACTCGGATGGATACCAGGCTGCCGACTTCCTCAAGGTTCTCTATCCTACCGTCAAGAAGTACCGCGAAGACTTGCAGGTATCCTGCTGTGACGCTACGGGTGCTCGTCAAGAACGCAACCTTCTCTATGAACTGGATCAAGCTGGTGGTGGCAAAATGTATGATGTCGCAACGTGGCACAACTATCAAAGCATGCCTGAGCGACCTTTCAATACCCATGGCCAACCAAACATGGAGACCGAGTGGTCAGACGGTAGCGGTCCGTTCAATACTACCTGGGACACGACAGGCCAGCTGGCGGAGGGTCTACAATGGGCCATCTACATGTAAGTCATATATCCAAAGCATTCCCTCTCAATACACCCAACTAACTCCGCAAAAAGGCACCAAGCCTTCATATACAGCGACACATCCGGCTACCTCCACTGGTGGTGCGCACAAGACAACCCCGGAAACACCACCGGCAGCGACGCAATCCTCGTCCGTCTTCGAGGCAACACCTTCGAAGTATCCCGCCGTCTCTGGGCCTTCGCCGGCTACTTCCGCTTCGCACGTCCTGGATCCGTTCGTATCGATGCTATCAGTCCTGCTGAGAATCTCAAGGTTACGGCGTTTGAGAACACGAATGGCACGCTGGCTATTCCTGTTATCAATGAGGCGCACTTTGAGAGACAGGTTGAGGTTAGTGTTAAGGGCTCTAATTTCACGATGGGTGTTGCGAATGCGTATTTGGCGGATAATGAACATAATAATACGATGGTTGGGACGTATGGGGTTAATGGATCAGTGTTTGTAGCTTCTGTACCGCCGAGGAGTATGACTACTTTCTTCTTGGAGTAGGATACGATCCCAGATGGCTCAATCTCAGCCTAGTCCGATAATACTGGCCATGGCTTACAGAATTACTAGAAGATCATTTGCCTGATATTGTGCTGTAGTAACTGTCTAGATAGCAGTGAACACGTCGTTGAATCGAACTCTTATTAAGTGTGCCCCAAAAGAGAACTTGAATGGCGTGTGCGTAGGTTCATCCACGTCCGCCTTGTGAGCGAGAATGGTGAATATATCCCACCCGTCCCATGTGAGTACAAAGTGGTCCAAGGGCGATCATAAATTCGAATGCGAGAGTGATGCGAGACGGCTATTCGTTTGCCGTACTCCACAAACACTATAGATGCCTGTCAGCGCACCTTTCACCACTCACTGCGGTACTTCACCGCCGCTAGGCCCTATCCGTGTATTTGCGACAAATTGCTTGCTCGAGCCATCGCTAATCGGGCGCAAACGCAAAGCTCCGTCAACTTTTCGTTGCTTAGTTGGACTGTCTTCTGTCTTGTTCTACGCGTAGATCAACTCTGACGTCCCGCGCAGCAGCAAGGAACTACACCATACACAAAAGCTACGATGGGCGACTGTCAGAACACCACTAGCGCATGCACTGGAAATCCTCCTCCAACGACGACAACCCCAGACTTGCCTCCGCAACCTGCCGCAGAAACCGCGAAAATCTCGAGCCAAGGAACTGCTCCGATCATTGTGCCTATGGGCTTTGCAGCGCAGCTCCGAGCCGTACAGGAAGCGCAGCAGGAACAAGCAGAGCGAATCGCCAAATTGGAGCAAGAGAACGCAGATCTCAAGGACTTCGAGAAGAAGATTATCGATCTCGCTGCCCGCGTTCAAGCATTAGAGGAGCGCGAAGCCTATCGTGCCTCGAGACGCACAGAAGCAGTCAGTCAACTCAGCAATATGCGTACCCTGCATCAAGAAGCCGACAATGGGTTCCAGCAACGTACAGCGGACATGCAACCGGATGACCTCGAAGGAATGTTGGGCGCGTATGGCATCATGTTGACCACTGCAATGAACAATCACCAACGCATGCTTGGCCAGATGCGTGCGAATGGCCAGTTCCCAGCGTACACAACGCCAGTTCCGCAGACTCGACAAGTGCTTGCACCGGTGCAGATGCTCCGTGCTTATCCGCCGGCGTACTCAGAGCATGGGTTCTGCCGTGCGCATAACATACCTTACTGCTGCCGTGTTTGCGGTAAGTAAGCCAGTGGTCTCGTTGCGTCGCCGTTGGAGTCTATTCCTGAAACCATCAGGCATTCGACACATCGGTACCGGAGTTTCACACATCTACCTAAACCCGGATTTAAGGAGCCACTCTTCTTGAGAATGAATTAAGATTACGATCCCAGCTGACGAGGGAAATGGGAAGCTTGGCGTTGGCGGAGTTTGCTTTAGTCCATTTGACTTGTGGTGAGGTCCAACGATCGTTGGATTCTCAGACTTAATTTTGAACGACCGAGGATACCGACCGGGGCATTCATACAACCTCGCGTTTCCGACCGTTTGATGTTTTGGCAAATAAATGCTGCGATGAGGGAACCAGCGAGGTACTTGGTATGAGGGAAGGTACACCGTTTCTGCATACTTGTTTAGCTATGGCTTTGTTCCACGTGATTGAAGCGAACCATGCAATTGATCGAACTACCAGACATTGTATTTTAGTAGCTTTGCATTTGCGTACATGGAACGATCACGCACAAAAGACTACGGCTGCATGATGAGGGGGAAACAACGATGAAGCTTGATAGCATGATGACGACACGCGACGCGTTCAACTATTCCTAATTGGGATGGGCCTCGGCTTCCCAACCTCCGCAACGCGACACTGAGTCCGTTTCCTCAACGGTACTTCGTCGCCATCATCTCTGCAGCTCTCTCCGCGATGCCATAGATGGCTGTCTGGATATGCGCTGAGATGATCATCGGGATGACGCTCGCGTCCACCACCCTGAGATTATCTACGCCGTAAACCCTCAGTTGGGGGTCGACCACACCACCGTCCTCCTTCGGCAACATCGCGCAGGTTCCTAGTGGGTGGTAGAAAGTGAAGACGTTGTTCCTGATATACGTCTCCCACTCTGCGTCTGTTTCGGTGCTCATGCCAGGATCGAACTCGGATACCCAGACATCTTTAAAAGGCGCGGTCATGGCCATCTTTCTTGTGTACTTGGCGGCCTGAATTAAAGCCTCTAGATCGTACGGCGTACCAAGATACCTCGGATCAATGAGGGGCTTGTTGACTGGATCGGATCCGTTGATGTGGACTGATCCCCTAGCGAGCGGGTGCTGTACACCAGCCAGCAGCGTTGCATACTGCTTACCGTAGCCAGCTGTGCCATTCTTTGGGTAGCCGGTTGTTCCTATGTAGCCGTCACTGAAGACAACCTCCAAATCTGGTGCTTCGGAGTCCGGACCAGTGAGTAGTTCAAGCTTCTTTCGGTCGACAGGATTCGACTTGTTCGCGGATTGCGTTGCCAGCTGGATGAGCTCGCTGTCGTCACCAAGAGCCTGCTTCCACTTCACGAAGCCGTAGCAGCTTCCGGCGTACTGGTACAGCGAGGTACGGCCGCGCTTCCACAGATCCAATTCACTCGCCGCCAACGTCGTGTTATACTTTAGGATATCCACTCCGAGAATTTCGGGCTTAAGCTCATACGTCGTTTGGATGCGGAGATGGTCCTGTAGGTTCTCTCCAACGCCGGGAAGATCAACGATGTGCTCGACACCAGCGTTTTCCAACACGGTCTTCTGGCCTATCCCAGAAAGCTCCAAAATCTTTGGAGAAAGCAGGCTCCCGGCGGAAACAACTACCTCGCTCCTGGCTTGAATCAATGTGCCGTCCATAAGCATGACGCCAGTCGCCTTCGACCCATCCTCGTTGAGTTGTATCTTTTGGACGGTAGTGTTGAACATGAACACTAGGTTGTCGCCAGCTTCTGGAAGATAGTCCACGGAGTAGGAGCGCGTGTGATTGGATACGCGATAGGTAGCCGGTTGATACATGACGCCAAGATTTGTTCCGTTCAACGATTCGAGGTTCTCTTGCACGCCAAGATTGCTCAACGTTGGAATACAAGCCTGGAGTTGGGGCGGCGGATTCTCAGTCAGAGCGACTTGGATCGGGCCTCCATATCCAACACCATCGACGCCGTACTGTGGGGAGCCATTCTGGCGTTGGAAGTTTTCCGCTTTCAGCATGCTCGGATACATGTTTTGCCAGTTCCAACCTGGGTTCCCGAGCTCTTCCCAGGCATCGTATTCCTTAACAGTAGCACGGTTCCAAACAAGCAGGTTCAGGGCTGAAGTACCACCGAGGACCTTGCCACGGTTATGGCCTATAGTCCGATTGTTTGCTTCAGCTTGTGGCACAGTTGGAAGACTCCAATCGTACGAGGAACCAAAGGTCGAACCTCTCAGTCCAGGGATATAGATCCGTTGCTCGTCTCGTCCATCCGGTCCAGCTTCGATGACTAGAATAGAATGGCTTGGAAGAGCATCGCTGAGTCTCGTGGCAAGTGCAAGGCCGGCTGTTCCGCCTCCGATGATGACCTAGACAAAAGGTCAGCTCCGTTATAAGTTCAATATTGCGGCCTGGAAAATACATACGAAGTCGAAGCTGCCATCAGATACCTGACATGTCTTCGCACTCGCTGCAGGTACGAGACCCAACACGACCGCGGAGAACAGAGCTGAGATGAGCCACATCGGTGCTCAGGGTCTTGTATATAAAATAAGTCGATACGATGGTACTCCTGCGTAGTGGACGCCTCCGACGGGAATCCTGTAAGAACAAAGGAAGCGGGAGGCCTGGTGCATAAGATTCGGAAATACTGCGCGACTGTCTAAAGCAAGCCTGCGTTGCCTACTGTCCAGTCAGGCCCACTTTTGTCCATAATTGGCCTGCAAAGACGGCCCAGTATGCGCTTTACAGGCACGGCAATTGTGCTCAGATTGATCCTTCGGAGAACCGCTGCCGTGTCACGGAGATAGTCCACACAAGCTGTCGAAATTGTAAGGCGTCTTATCCAGCCAGGGAAGGATTATCTGACGAGTTCTTTTTGGCCCTTTCAATTGGTCAACGCCTCGTATGGATACAGCCGATATGCATGCGCCTGCATATCGCTCGCATGGATACGAATCCTTCCCTGCGCCAAGGCGGGAAAACCGTTTGGTTCGATCGCCGGTATCCTCTCCATACCAGATACCTTGCATGCCCAAATCAGCAGCGTTGCCGGGCTCGCCTCGCGAGCGCGATTGCTACACTCCCCGTGTTTGTAGCCATGTCTTCCCATTGCCTACGCCACCTACTGATTGACATCAAAACACCATAACACCGCCATTGCCATGTGTCGGTATGGTCATGCTGAGCCGTCACGCAACAGTACATCGAGATCCGTAAGCTCTCAAGCACAGGTAAACCGCCGGCATTGCGGCTATGGACGGTACGAAGCGAGCCAACAAGGACGAGTCTTCCCAGTCGACCCCTGCAGCTGAGCGATTCTTTGGCCGCGCGGTGCGTACCCAGCGTTGACCTAGTCCCTTGGAAGCGAAGTTATTCGCCATACGAGGTTTCGCAATAGATCGGGGCGTAACTTTGGTGCAAAGTCTAAGCTCGTACTTTATTGGTAATTTTTGCGGAAAGCACCGTGGATTATGCGTCTAAAGTTGCTGTCCAGAAGGATTCTATGCTGGTCTGGTCGTGCCACAAATAAGTTACAAGTATCCCTATGAAAGTGACTACCCTGAATTCACTCGTTACTCGAAACTCAAGGCCCATTCCCGATGATCGCAGACAGAGGCCCGGCGTTGATCACCGTCTCGGTGCTATTTACAACAATTGCCTTCTTCACCACCGTTCTACGGCTCTGGGTTCGCAGGAAACGCCGAGCCCTCGGCTGGGATGACCGTACCATCGCAGTCGCGATGATGCTCACGGTCATCGAGGCCGCAATTACCATCAAGGCAGTCACGAGAGGCAAGGGAAGACCCAGTGCGTCACTTTCCAAAAGCGACAAGGAATTCATCAACATGTACAGCTGGTACGCCCAGCTTGTTCTCTTTGCTGCTATGGCTTCGGTCAAGATCTCGGTCTGCCTGCTCATGACTCGAATCAAACACTCCAGCCAGATGAAATGGCTTGCTGGCTTCGTCATCGCCGTTCTAGCTATTGCTGCCCTTGAGGTCATCATCGTTCTGTTGGCCCAATGCCAGCCTATTAGCCTTTACTGGCGTTCGGGACCAGGCACGTGCTGGCCTACGGAAGTACGAATCTACTCAATTTATGCACAAGCTGGTAAGACATGTGGCGGCCGTCTTGCGACCCAAAAGCTCACTCGACATCTAGGCATATCGATCGTCACGGATCTAATCTGCTCGTTGCTCCCTATCATCATTACGCGAGATATCCAGTTGCCAACAAGAAAAAAGTTTTCAATTTGGGTGCTGATGGCTCTCGGGTTGACTTGCACGGCATGTTCTGCTGTTAGGGCAAAATCACTCAATTCGAGAAACCAAGACATTGCTTGTATGAGACTCTCTCACCCTGTATCAAAGCCGTACTGACTAAGATTAATTAGACGAGTACTCTGCCGTAGCTATTTGGGCCATGACTGAGTTATGCCTTGGTATCATAGCTACGAATCTCGCCCTCTCTCGATCTGTTTATCATTATTATTTCGGAAACGAGCCTCTATCCCCGAACAACGGCGGACCCAGCCGTGTATACTGGCGGCCTGCGGGAGGAGAAAGCAGGAGCTCAAGCATGACCAACGACGGGGCGAGTAACATACCACCCAAACCAGGCGCTGGTATAGAAGAGATTACTGAGATCGAGATGCACGCGTCTTGAACAGATCCATAATATGATTTGTTCAGATCTGGTTCACTCCCGCAACACACACCAGATACACGATGAATGAATCCGCCCATTAAATAATGGAAGGGATGAGAAAGAAGTCAGATTTGGCGTTTTCTAGTTCGCAAGCGACTACGACTCGAACACAGAACCCTCAACATCTCACGAACTATCACCAGCAGCTTTCGCTATAACCCTAGCCTCTTCTCTCGAAAACCCAACAGTCTCCCCCGTCGGCCTCCTCAACCAAAGGCTCACCCTCCCATCCCTCTCCCGCCTTAACTCCTCCTCCGTCCATTCCCTCAAGCGCTCAGCATACTCACCAGCCTCCTCCCTATCCCTCGGCACAGGACGCGCGCTGTGCTCACCACTCCCCGTACCATCTTTCCGCTGCCGCCTCCGGTACGCCTCTATCAACTCAGCCGTGATCTCCCGCTTCAACCTCATCTTACTTCTCGCTAGCCCCGCCCTAATATATCTTTGCAGCATGTCGTTGCGAATGCCCTCGTCAAAGTATGCCATGACTGTGCCGCCGATGTGCTTTGCATATGTGCCTTCTTTTAGCTCCAGGAGCTCGAATGTTAGATCTGCGTCTTGGCAGACTAGGCCGATTATGAAAAGGAAGAGGAGGGTGAGGAGGATGAGGAAAACGGTGTCGGTCCAGCGCCATGTGTTGCTGTGGACGGAGGTGTGCTTTTCGGTGAGCCAGAGGTCGGTGAGGGTTGGGGCCCTGGGTTCTGAGGGTGCTGATGGTGGTGTGTATGACATAACTGCTTTGAGGTGAGGATGAGATGTGTGTGTTTGCTGATGTGATTGCGATGTTTTGGTTGTGTTCTTCGAAGGTCTGACACCATAGCATATGCAGAGTAGGCGTCTTATGTGAAGGTAGGTAGACAAAGGTAAGATGAATGCGCTGACATTCTTTGATGATCGGGACAAATGGACAAAGGTCTACTGAGAAAAGCGTTGTACACACCGATCATCCCTTCCAAGTTTAACGCAACACATGCTTCACATGCGTGATCGTACTTGAGAACGGTAACGCCAGAATGGGCAAGACGAGTAAACATATATGTAACCCAGATCATTAGCCTGACAAATATATCCGCCCGGAGTATGCGAAACCTTTCCACTTCCAACAGGCAGCGCGATCCTCAGCTCCCACCCACACCCACAGATAGCCTTACATCTCCACCCTCGCCCGATCCTCCACTAATAAGTCGACGACAAACCCCTCCCCGCCGATGTGACCATGCTGTTGCCTGACCCAACTTCCCCTGTCTCATCCTCGTCATGGGTATCGTCTACCCCTAAGCCTGTCGGTGAGAGGGAGCCCAGAACAGCCTTACCAAGCCTAGTATCTTTACGTATCGAGCTCGTGTTGATATCCAGTACCTTCATGTTGCGACGGCCTTGAGAATACCCTGCTGTCGGTGACGGTAATGCGCGCTCTCCCTCCGATGAGGGCGATTTGCCACTTCCGACGAGCGACGGTGTGACGCCGCCGCTTTCGTAGCCTGCGATATCGAGTGCGTTGCTTAGATCGTGAGAAGGCCCAAGTAGAGAGTGGCTTCCAGATTGGGTTGACGCGACGGATGGAGGCATTTGGGATGATCTGCTGTTTTGACGGCCTCGATCACTAGCCCTGTTATGCTCGGGGCGATCCGTACGCTTCTTGGTGGGCCTCTGGCCGCGTAGGACGTAGTACCACTCTTCGGCATTGAATGTGTTTCGAAGTCCAGATTTGCCATCTTTCAGATTAAGCCTTTCTTCAGCAGCTTCCATATCTTCCTTTTTGAAGGAACCACCTGCGTGCTCACTCGATCGAAGTTGGCTAAGCTGTTTGTCAGAAGGCCTTTCTGTACTCCACTGCTGCTCTGCCAGATTGGCCAAATGTTCTTGATGTGGCCTCCAACGCGGTCCTTTCAGTGCCTCTTTCCGGAGGATATCGGTAGGACTTGGACTTGCTCCTCGATCATCAACGGCTTTGTGTGCTCCTCCGTTTAGAATCCATTCGTTGTAACGTTGTGTCACGCTCTGGAGTAGGAAGTCAACATCTTCCTTCTCATTCTTTAGTAGACCAGTCCGCTGACGCGGCCTGCTCTTGATGTAAACGTCTGACAAGTCCATGTTCACAGCAGACGTAAAGTGGCTCATAGCAGCATCCCAGTCGCGCAAACCACCGCAGCCACGTCCACACCAGTAGTGGGAACGTGCGAGCAGGCCGCGGCTAGATCTGGCTTCGGCAAGTTGGTAAGCTTCGAAAGCAAACTTCCGGATTCTGTTGTAGTAAGACCGTACGATTGTCTCAGCCTCAGCATCAGACCGTTGTGCCCGGGGTGTGCGATCGATGGAGTTGATGATTGACTGCAGAACCACGCAACGATTGAGGTACGTTCGGCATTGGATCAGGCCCATGGCTACCCTAAAGTCGTCGCTGCTTTTTTCGTCAACGGGAACGCCATTCGCGATAGACTCAGGCGTGATGTTCGAAACGTTCTCGATGTTGATGGGTTCAACGCCTTCTCGAAAGGGTTGACTTAATGGCGATGCGCAGTCGGAAGATTTGTCGTGTGCGGGTGGAGTTGGAAGATTATTGATGTATGCAGATACGTCATTAGTACGATTCGCGACGCCGTTGGGGGACTCATGGCCGAGGGCAGCGACTTCTAGGGGCTGCTGAACGTTTGCGAACATCGCGATGAAATGGTCAAAAGAGCAAAACTTCTGGTAAGGTCAGGCGAATGTGTCTCGCGATGGCATAGAACTATCAACTTTCCGACTAGAGATGTTCGTGCTTTGGGGATGTCTCAAGCCGCGCCGCATTTGACGTGACGCTCTGCATAACAACTCTTTGTTCGTTTTCTGCAGCGTCGCGCGAAAGCGGAAAACGTCAACACAAAGAATGAGACGGGTCCTCAAGTAGTGGCTGAACCGCCATGTCTGTGCAAACAAAGAAGCGCGGTACCAAAAGTTCATCCCCTGAACGGCGGAGTGCTGCCATGACTTCTTATGATGACAGACCAGTATGACATGGCGATGTTAGTCTCGGTGATGTTCGTCGCTCTTCGATTTGACCCAGCGGTAGGGCAACGACATTCGTCTCGCTTTCGCGGCGGCGCGCTGCCTAAGTTGCGCACTGGTTCGACGGCGTTTGCTCTAGGACAGATTAGTAAGCTGCGGGTTGCGGAGCTGGAGGCTGAACTACCTCTGTGCCTTTATCCTCCAGTTGGGCGAGCAAGCCTTCCATAGTGCGGTTCTCATCAAAGCCCGACCGACGCTTGGTACAGCGCAGCAGATCCAGCTCATCATCGTAAGGCTTGCGAAACTCCCTGGCTTTAGCGGAGAGGTCGTCGTCGCAAACATTGCTGAAAGCTTCTTGGGCTTGGTGGAGTTGCCGCAGCTCATAGTACAACAGGCCACGCTGGTATTGTATGCGCGGCAAGAAGTTCTGAAGCTCAGAGAGGCGGTCGCAGAGCTCTACGGCTTCGCTGCACGTAGCTAGCGCATCAAGAAGCTCATCGGGGCCAGAGGCTCTTAGGATGTTGCTCTTCAAGAGTAAGCCTTCCGCGCGAGCCTTGTAGCTGAGCGGGCCTTTGAGGAGTCGCTCAACCTCGACCAGGGCAGTTCCGTAGTTACGCTGAGCGGTACACTCTTGTGCGCGCTTGAACAACGGGTGGGTGCAATCTTCGGAGGGCCGTCGCAAATGAGTTGGTTCGATCTCTTTTGGTAAGCATACTGTAGCGGTACCAAAAGTGAAATTGACGTGAAGGTCCTCAGTGCCGTCAAGGGAAGTAGGACGGTGGTTCTCGCGCTCGCCGGAGATTGTCTGGAGACGTTGCTGTTGGGCTCGCTCGTTTTCCAACTCGGCTTGCGTAGCAAAGCACACGTTTTGCAGCTCGTGTAGGCGGGATGTCTGAGCTTCGAAGGCCGCTTTGTACTGGAGCGCTACAGCCTGCCAGGTGTCTCGGTCGACCTTGAGGCCATGGACGATTCGTTCGATTTCGGAGATTTGTTCCATGCTTATCGGCGGCATCGTAGTAATGCACAAATCAATATGTTTGTGGTGGTGTCCAAAGTGACGGGGTGGATGTGGCTGTTGGCTCGGCTACTGACGAGTAGGTGCCTGGGTGATGTTTAGAGCAAGCGCAATCTACGAAGAGCAGGCGCGGTGGATGGTCCTGGTCACACCTTCTGCCCACACAGTCCAAGTTGCACCACCTGGGCAGGCTTCCTCAGATGTTGAAGCCGCCATGCCTGGATGCTTCGACGAACCTCCACAGGCCAGCTTCTTGGGCTGCTTTCTTGACTGATGCTACCTCATCCAAGTCTACAGCGCGATTGATCTCACTATATCGCACGTCTTTCTTAGTCGAGGGTGAGGCTTCAACACCACCTGGCTCCTTAACGTCCTGGCTTGCACGGCCGCGTCGCTCCTTCCCCACGTGAGCTCTTGGGAAATACTGCTCCATGATGTGCACCATGATATCTTTGCTCACGTTCCCGGCAAGCCACTTCACGATCTCTCGTCCTTCGTCCTCCATGCCGGGCATGACCAGGTGTCGCACCAGCACTCCCTTCTTGGCAATGCCGTCAGGAGTGAAGCAGAGGTCGCCCACCTGCTCGTGCATAGCCTTGATGCTCTCCATAGCCACCTTTGTGTATCCGTCTGCTTTGAGTAACCGACGGCTCGTCGCATCACGCCACACCTTGAAGTCGGGGAGGTAAATGTCCACCAGGCCATCCATCAAGTGTATGCTCTCGAGCGAATCGAACGATGACGTGTTGTAGATGATGGGTATGTGCAGACCGAGATCGCGCGCGTGCAGAATCGATAAGCAGACCTGGGGTACGACATGTTCGGGTGTAACGAGGTTGATGTTGTGGACGCGGCCCACGTCCTGCAGCTTCATGAACCACTCGGCGAGTTGCTCTGGTGTCAGGTCAAAACCGTTGCGCTGGTGGGCTATATCGTGGTTCTGGACACGGCGTTAGTGCGCATGCTACGACGAAGGACAGGGCAGCATACCTGGCAAAACACGCATCTCATGTTGCACCCAGAGAAGAACACGGACCCGCTGCCATTGTGTCCCTGGAAACAGGGCTCCTCTAGTCGGTGTCAGTACGAGCATGCCCGGGCATTGACGGGTTTGACCCACCACCAAAGTGAGGAGCGATAGTATTGACTTTGACAGTCTCGGCTCCTATCAGACACGTGCCTGTCGTCTCATAACGGTTGACACCGCAGAGCCGGGGGCAGAGATTACATTCGCGCAAATGCGCATACGCCAGTGATCGTTTCTTCGCGGCTTCCACTGAAGAGAGCAGCTGATAGCGCGGTATGTAGTCGTCGAGCAGGTATGGCGGCGCGAGGTAGAGGTTTCGTCGGAAGGGTACGCCTTGGGCGCGGAACGAGGGGCGTCCAGCGGCACCGAGCTTCAAGGCGGGTCGCGTTCGCCAGCTGAAAGCCATCCTAGCAGGCCCGAAGAGGACATCGAGTTGGTAAGACAACGACGCGTAGGGTCAACGTGTGGTGCGATGCTGAGGTTTACGTGCTGCAGCCATAGCGATGACGACAGCCCCACTTGCCGAGGCTCTAAAGCCGCGCTATCCCCGGACTGATCCCATCCACAAGAACTTCGAAGGCATCAGGAGGATTTCCAAGAGCAACTACTTGTCTCTGAGTACCCTCGCCTTCGACCCCGCCTTTGTCCCACGTTACCGTCCTACCGCATCTCACGCGTTCAGAGTAGTTAATCTTCTCAATAGCTCCGCCCCGAAAGCTCAGTCCACGAATGGCTGCTGGCTGTTACACCACCAATGTTAGGCCGGTCTTTGCTTTGGCCTATATCCAGGAACGATCGAGTTGGTTCCAGACGAGCCTATTAGTCTGAGTTCCAGCGTAGCTTTGTGATACTTTCCCCGCCTGGAGCCCGGGAACACCGGCAATCGTCGTCCACTGGAATACAACACTCTGGTATGATACATTCAAAACACAAGCCAATATGGTTCAAGCATCATTGTACACCGTGGCAGAGCGGTGTGATTAGACTAAAGCGCTGCATTACCACCACTCACATCAACATCAGGCGCTTTTACGTCATCTTTCTCCTCTGTCACTACCACAACGCGGACTCATGTAGGACAGCTTAATATGATACTCAGAGGAAGTGGCATGTGAGGATACAGATCTGCATAGCTACCCCAACATGCCGCTTGTCGGGCCTAGTTGCTGACAGCCCTCAAGAGCTAATGGACCCCTTCACCGTTGGCAGAAACTTGCTTGCGCATCTGGAGAAACAGAGAAATCCGCCCAACACAACATCTTTAGCGACTCACCAAATGCGATCGATCAATGGCTGTAGCTACCCGTCTGGTGCCCCAACGATACCCACATCTCGGTCGCCAATACCAGCGTGCCTTGCCGACACGCGAATGACAGCTTCGTCGTACTTCGTACACTTTCCAAAAGAGGACTCATCGCTGCCTTGTTGGGCACAACGCCCGTGTAACTGTGCTACTTGGTCTCGGAGCCACTCTTTCTTTCTTGGGCGGATCTTGTCTTGGTACTGCTCGGTGTGGTGCAGACCGCGACTTCCTCATGCACAGCCAATGCGACTTCCTGACTGCTCGCAGGCAGTCACTTACCTCGCACGAGGAACTCTGCAAGGACGGCACAGCCGTCGTGTTAGCTTGCTCTCCAACATCATACAGGCGTCCCACTTCACTCCCACTCCACTTCTTCCTCAGGTATAAGAGCATCACTGCGAAGCATCACAACACCAGCATCGACAGCTTCAGCTTTCAAACATCAGCATCTAGACCCATTCATCGACCCCCAAGTCATCAACATGCGCATCTCCGCTCTCCTCCCCGTCCTCTTCGGCCTTCCAGCCTTTGCGGACCTGGTCGAAACCAAGTTCCCAACATTGCTCCTGCCCATGAAGAAGTCTCAGCCAGACACCGCTTTCCCGACCCAGGATAACGCGACCGTCAGCTACAATGTAAGTGTCTACAAGATCCAGATCATACGCGTGGCACCTACTAACCCGTCGGCCAGAGCAAGACAGGCGACGAACAATGGACAGCAATCAACTTCGACGTCCCCCAAATCGACAAGGTCAAGACCTGCCGCCTGCGATTCCTCATCAACGTCGACCCCTTCAAAAACGCACCACTTACCCTCGAAGGCGAAGCACCTATGTCTATCAGCATCTCTCGCATCGAGACCAAGCTCGTTAACGGCAAGAGTACCTGGAACAACAAGCCCAAGATCACCGAACACTACGATGCCTACGTCTTGACGACGATCAGCTCATCTGAGGTAGTCAGCAAATGGTTTGCATGCCCCATGAAACAGGCCGCGCAATTCGTCATTCATCCGGCTAGTAAGAGGGACTTGGAGCTCTACTGGTTTGAGCTGAACTACGGTGCCAATGATGGTGGTCCACACGGAGTTGTGCTCGAGATGCACGATTAGGTGGGCTGACTGCGGATCATATCAGGTTGAGTGGACACAGACGGTGGGCAGGAGGATGAGTGGATGAGGAGTGTTTAGTTGTGCATTCTTTTCTCTAGTAACCCTACTGCTATTCTAAAGGCAACACAATAAACGCGTTTCCGATACCATGCTTCATATCTCCATCATGTCATCCATCATCTATCGCCAGTGCATCGGCTATCCTCTCCCAAGCCCT